CAATTAAAGCACCGCAAACACAAGGAATCAATGCTCGAATGCTACGACTTGCGGCCTTAGCGCCGGAACACCGTCACACGAAGCAGGGTTATAATGACAGAGTAAACTTTTTAATATACCCCATAGTGAGTGTTACAACGGAGTCTAACGGTCGATGTGTGTGTTATGGTGTGGAGGATAGTGGTTGACATAACAAAACATTGAATTACAGACGGCGATGTGGGGGGAAAAATGACAAGGGACGCGTTGTTATTAAAACTGGCTATGGTTAAGTTTGGAAAAATAAATAACACAGTTACGTGCTGATAAAAATAGGAGATGAAAATAACATAAAAGGTTTTTTTAAACTGAGGGTTGGATTTGTATCGGATGTATGGGGAGTTAATTGCTCTCTGGGGTTGTCGGTTATGTTGGGTGTATGAAGGGCATATTGCTAGATGTGCTGGGCATAGTGTTAGAGGGTTTGGGTTTTATATCCTACTTGGGATGATATGGGCATATTGGTAGTTAGGCTGGGCATAGTGTTAGTGGGTTTGGGTTTATTGCTACTTCGGATGATATTGGCATATTGGTAATTGGGGTAAGCAACTTGCTGGATAGGCTGGGCATATTTCTAATTGAGCTGGGCATCCGTCACATAAGATGCCACAATACTAGTTGACGGTCAAGCTAGCATGATTGGACGGCCACAACGCTAATAGAACTGGACGATCAACTGACTTGTAAGACTATACGTTTATTATGCTGATTTGACTGGACGGCCACCACACTAATTTGACTGGACGGCCACCACACTAATTTGACTGGACGGCCACCACGCTAGTTGGAATGGACGGCCACAACTTTACTAAACCTGTGCTGCCCTCCATACTTACACTCCAATTAGCCAAACCTTCTACACGGAGATCTAAACTCAGCCGAGCATTTCTCCGTGCTTTCATCGCACTGTTTACATAATCGTTAATTTTAATTAAAATAAAACACCTTAATTGATTAAGCAAATATCAAGTACGGCTTGTTAACCATAATCCCACACCTAGCCACGAACCGACACAGCTACATGTAGCCTATCAATAACGCCTAAATGACTACATCTGCAAATTTGCAAATAAAAAAAACAGGCAAAATCGTTATAATTATTGATCGTCATCAAATATTGACGAATAGCGTAGATGTGTTAACGGAGCGTATTGATGTAAATGTTTTCTGCTTATATTTTTTTTTTGTGTTCCTTATTCTCAAGATTTATCGTGTTTGATAGCTTTAGCTAATGGTTGAAGGACGAGGTCTAGTTTTGTAAGGGAGAGAACCGTGAAAAATATCTCAACTTTTTTTTAGCGGTCTTTGCTTGTGGGAGAAGGACCGTTCTTGACAACCACTAACACAGTACACGGCTTTCTCTCTCACACAAACACATACTCTCTCTATATCATACACACATGATCCAGATTGAGCACATACACATAAATATATTTACGCACTTACGCACGTACACACACTAGCAACAAACATAATACTTATTAAATAACTTTTTAAATATATTTTTATATCTATTAATTTTCTAACTTACTTGTTGTCTATTAATATTCCTCAAGCATACAAATAATTATACTGCGAAAAGGGGTCTAACTAATACCATATCTAAAAATATATAATTAATAATTATTCATATTGGTAGTTGAATGATTGGTTGAGGTAAATAAAAATAGTGATATGTAAACAATTGCACTGATAGCGGGGTGTTAAGAAAGCGTTCCACCAAAACAGAACTCTCGGCTTGGAGTGATGTTCCTGTATATTTCCTGCACATTTTCCAAACTTTGAGACGTTGACAAATGAAATATTTTCTTGGCTAACGATTTCCTAGATGTCGGCTGTTAATTCTGATTAATCTGGCTAATTCGGTAATTGATACACGACATTCGTTCATCTTAGGGCTGACCCTAGATCCACATGGGGCTAAACAGCACGTGTCATTAGAAACAAATCAATCGACCCAGATAATCTTGTCTTTAATTAATTAACAACATGAGGCTATCTTCATCTCATACATCTTCGTGTATGCAGGAGCCAACATTATACATACATATATATATATATATATATATATATATATATATATATATATATATATATATATATATATATATATATATATATATATATATATATATATATAATATATATATATATATATATATATATATATATATATATATATATATATATATATATATATATATATATATATATATATATATATATATATATATATATATATATATATTCCCCTATATTATGATTGTTTTTGGTGAAGACGCGGAGTCAAACGTTTGTTCATTATATTTGAGTTGAGTTTACTTGCTTAAAATTTTTGTTTGTTCGTGAACAACGCTACACACACACAATTAAAATTTCTTGTCGTTCTTGTAGACTAATGTAGACTCTACCACTAGACCAGTGGTTCTCAACCAGGGTTAAATCGAGCCCTTGGGGTTCGTTGAGTCAGTCTCAGGCGGACAAGAAACACTTGACTCATACGTTTCGTTATTAGAATGTGTCAGTCCTGACAACAAAACTATCAAGAAGGGTTCCGTGAAAGCGCAAATGAATCTTATGGAGTTCGGTACCTTCAAAAAGGTAACACTGGCTTACGTTAATCGGCTATGTCCAGTTATAACGTTTTACCCACAAAATGCAAAGCAATATGAGCATGTTTTATTAGTAAAGAATAAACTGTTATTTTAAAAACTTTATGTCTACAGAGCGGACCATTAGAGTAGGTTTTCATCTATTGAACAGGAGCAGACAACGAAGAGAAGTTTCGAGAATCGAAGCTTTCTATTTTAAAAATCTCCCAGAATTCGATAGTGCACACAATCATGACGCGGACGTATATTCCCTTTTAATGATATAAAATTTCCCGATAAAGCAAGCTCAAGAGAAGGTTACAATTTTCTGCTGCAATTAAAAACAAAATGAGTTTATATCGATGTCTGAGGCTGGTGTCGTTTTATTGTAGGCAGAAGATAACAGCTGTTTGAACAGCTGAACACGCAGATGTAGGTAGCTACAATATCAGATGTAGTCAGCTACAATATCAGATGTAGGTAGCTACAACATCAGACGTAGGTAGCTACAACATCAAATGTAGTTAGTACAACATCGGATGTAGTTAGTACAACAAAAGATACAGTTAGTACAACATCAGATACAGTTAGTACAACATCAGATACAGTTAGTACAACATCAGATACAGTTAGTACAACATCAGCTGTAGTCAGCTACAGCATCAGATGTAGTCATCTACAACATCAATGTAGGTAGCTACAGCATCGGATGTAGTCAGCTACAACATCGGATGGAGTCAGCTACAACATCGGATGGAGTCAGCTACAACATCAATGTAGGTAGCTACAGCATCGGATGTAGTCAGCTACAACATCGGATGGAGTCAGCTACAACATCGGATGGAGTCAGCTACAACATCAATGTAGGTAGCTACAGCATCGGATGTAGTCAGCTACAACATCGGATGGAGTCAGCTACAACATCGGATGGAGTCAGCTACAACATCAATGTAGGTAGCTACAGCATCGGATGTAGTCAGCTACAACATCGGATGGAGTCAGCTACAACATCGGATGGAGTCAGCTACAACATCAATGTAGGTAGCTACAACATCGGATTAGTTGCTACAACATCAGATGTAGCTAGCTACAAAATCAGATGTAGCTACCTACAACATCAGATTTAGTGAGCTACAACATCAAATGTAGTCACGCCATCTTATGATTTAATGATCTGTCACGTTGAATATTTTGTAATGATCTGCCACGATGCATATTTTGTAATGATCTGTCACGTTGCATATTTTGTAATGATCTGTCACGTTGCATATTTTGTAATGATCTGTCAAGCCGTGACATCATTTAACATCTCAGTCAACAATCATACATGATGTCACATTTCATCTCATGTTGTTACACATCGTATTGTGACAATTATTTGTCACAACTTTGTAATCGTTGCACATAATTGGCTGGGAGATTCCCCGTGGGCAAATGAGTCTGAGGGTTGGGGTTTAAGGGAGTGGCTGAGAGTGAAAGGGGGGGATGGGTGGGTAAGAAAGTGGGGAATACGGTAGTGGTGGTATTAAGGGGGTGGGGTTGAGGCTGAGGGTGGGGGTAAGAAGGGAAGGGGGAGGGTGAAGATGAGGGTTGGCGTAAGAAAATAGGAGGGGTATGGGTGGGGCTAAGGGGTGAGTCGAACTATGGATTTGTCGTCACAATGATTCAAACAGTTGCACCTCTAGGCTTGACACCACAGCGGCTGATTAAATTAAACGACACAAAAATAGGTTGGGGGAGGGGGGTGTTGGGACACATGTCTATTAATAAAGATATAACACACATTTTTTGGGACATGAAATCTTATATTAAAACCTAATGTACAAATACTACACTCAAAAAGTAGAAAGAATTCGTTTTTGCTGTTTGTTTTTACAAATAAATAAATAAATAATAATATAATAAAATAAAATAACAAATAAAAATAAATTAATAAACGAATTTTTTTTTCGTAATCGAAAATGTATTTTCTGTTCAATCGATTCATTTAATTTTTTTCTGTTAATTGTTTTTCGGCCAATCGACCTAGATTCTAGATCAGCGATGCCTACATAAATTTAAAAAAAATGGAGATAATATTTAGGCAAAAAATATAAGGTAACGGTCAACGGCTATGAAGAACAGTTTAATTTTGAAAAACATAAGCTTCTTAGAAAACTTTGATCAACATTTAACATTGTTTCACATTCAGCAGATAAACATTTTCTTAAAGGCGTCGTAAAAAAAAAAGATTATCGCTTAGTTTTAATTTTTAAAATTTATTTTAAGCGACGTAAACGAAACCTTCCACCCCTAGCAGAGAAAATGGACTCCTCCGCCGGACATCCCCCACAAAGGTGAAACCAGCACACGACAGTCGCGGCAGAAGTAACGACGGTCGATTAGCCTCCCTTGAATGTTGACGTAGGAAGTTGAAACACCCCATTGAAAAACTCGCTGCGACTCGGCCAACAGCTCGCGAGTTGTGTGCATTGTTTGGTTGTTTAGTTTCTACCGAATGGTGGATCGAATACACTCCAGCTTAGAGATTCGTAAACTTTTGAATGTGAACTGTGTCAAGGATTTCTGTGCAGTGTTTTCTTCAGCCGTGTCGTGACCGTTAGCGTCGGTTTCCACCTGTGTGACTGCTAGCCTGGTGTGCCGCTCCGAACTTGGCTATACTTTCATTTTGTCAACAGGGGACTCTGATAAACATTTCGTTTTTTGTGTGTGGACTATTAATTAATTACATAATATTTTGACCATCGCAGTGGACACACAGCTAACAGATTACTGGTTTCGAGGTCAGTGTTGATTTGTAATTTGTATGTTGTGTTGTTTTTGTTACATTTTGTTGTTTTTATTACATTTTGAATACAAAATAGTAAATAGTTTAAATTTTAAATAGATTTATGCGAAATAATAAGAGTCTAAGACTACTCTAAGAGGTTAGGGCTTAGGCTTAAGCCTTAAGGCTTTGCCCGATTATCAGTATTATGAAATAAATACTATTAAATATAAATTAAATATATTTAAGAGTAAATTGAATAAGAACAATCGTTGTAAAATGCCCTAATAAGTAATTATTAATTATTATGACAAGGATATGCCAAATGACTAATGTGTGATGTTAATTATAATAATTCGTTTTATAATTAATTATTAATTAACCAGACTATGCCTATTATTAGAACTAGATCTAATACCTAATCACTAATCAGCAGTTAGTAATACAATTAACTGTGAACTTATCTATCTTTGATGATGTATTTTTAAAAATATCAAAGAACCAGAATAATGAGAATATTCAATATAGATCTAGATCTAGATTAGATCTAGAATACCAGTAAAAATAAGTGCGCCTATACGTATGTAAGTTAATTCCATTGCTTATAAAACCAGCATGCAGTCGACAGGCCTAGTTTAAAAGTAAACTGTTTTAATTTTGGATTTGTTGTCGGTTCAGATTTTAACAACGTAACAATATTGTGATCCTGTGTTTTGTTATCTATCCTCTATTCCCTCAGTTTTTCTGAACAATAAATTTGCTCGCACGCGGCTCGTGTTCTGTTAACAATCTAACCCTACACCTGCATAATTCATGTAAATATCAGTAAGCTAAGCCTTACCCAGGGGAAAGTGTTGAATATTGAATAAACGGGAGATTTACGGTAAATCTCCTGAAAAAAACGGTTTTGTGTGGTTTAATGTTCTGTTAAAACCAATTTATGTAAGCCACAAACATTTTTAATCCCTAGTTTTAGTTTCTTCATGTTCATTTAATTATTTATTTATTATTAAATAAAAATTGGAATACGTCTTGTTATTTCAGCACATAGATCTACGTTATCTGTTGTGTTTTTAACTTTGTCTCACCATATAGATCTAGATCTAGACTCTTTTATTTAATAGGTCTAGAGATCTATATACGTTTACAATTTATAAAGCCCTGCAATTTTCTGTTTCTCAGACTACGTCTAGAAACCTAAATATAAACTCTTCCTTTCCAAACTAGAGAGGCTAGATCTAGATCTAACCTTAGACTTTCTGATAGAGCCAGTACCAAAGCCGAGAGAGTACTAGAATCTAAAACCGGTGCGTTAGTCGACAGTGGCGTACGTCAGTGTTGAATTAGATAAAGCTCTCGACGAGTCCTCGGTCGTGTTTTTAGTTTGGTGAAGTTTTGTTTACAGGCGGTTCAGTACGTCCCCAAAATACGGGACAGTCAGATAACACATGTGCTGACACGAGGGGGCTAGATAGCACGCTCTGTTTGTTTACCGGAAAGTGTGTTATTGTATTGCGTGTCTCATTCGTGTGTGTTTTGGTATAATGTGTCTCAGTTGTTTGTGGGATTAGTGTCTTATCTATGTGTGGGTGTTTTGTTTCAGTGGAGCATGTCTTAGTATTTTGTTAAGTATTAGTGTAATGTGTCGTCTTAGTATAGTGTAGTGTGTCTTGGTAAAGTGTCTTAGTGCAGTGTGTCTTAGCATAGCCTTGTGTTCACAGTGTCTAAATATAGTAGACACAGTTCATGTGTCTAAATTTAGTCGCAGACTGTGCTGTACTGTATTGTTGTCATTGTGTGTCTACTAATATAGTGTCTATGTAATGTGACGTTGTGCTGTGACGTAGTATTGTGACGTTGCATTGTGACGTCACGTCTAACTATCGTGTATCTAGTCATAGCGTGTGAAATTCTAGCGATCCGAACTATAGATCTACGTCCTGTGTGTAATCTACGAGGGTGTTGTCCCCTAGCCCTTTCTTCCAACTCAAACCACCAATTAAAAAAAAAATCTTCCCATTATTTATTTTGTGTGTTCAAAACTAGGTCAAGATGTCTTGTGCAGGTGTTTTCCCCAGGCTACCTGAAGTGACCTTGCTTGATGAAGTCACAGGTGTCTGTGCGGCAGTTAATATTTACCAGCTGTGGCCAACACTTGGTGCTCGAGTAATTGATGCACTTTTTGTTGTGCTCAGTCAAGTGTAACCAATTGTGGTGTCACTGATGTGAATAATCAGTTACGTGTGCACAGTTTCGTTTGATAATACGGGGCGTGTATCTTCAGTCAATCAGTTTTTGTCTTTATTGTACTTGTACACAAATATTTCATATTTTTTGTACAAACAATATCACCGTTATATAGCTGCACTAAATCATTTGATATAACTTTTTATAGCTCATGTAAATAGATACCAATTTTTATATAGCGCTAGTAAATAAACTGATACTACATTTTTATGATATGAATCTAGTTAATAAATTATTAACGTTTATAGCTAAGCCTAATTGACTTTTATACGATAAAAAAGTAAAGTGAAATACGCGTACATATAGATGCTAGTGGTTCAACGACGATGTTTGTGAAGTTGGGTGTGGAGAGAGGGTTTTATCAATGTTTGTATAGAAGAAATAATCTGCCGACTGGTGCTAAAAATAGATGTTATGGAACTAGCGTGAAATTATCGCTAAAGGTTCGATTGATTTGTGTGCAACACGGCTCGTCATCGACTGCCGTGATGTGTGCAGCACTTGTAGGCCATGATGTGTGCAGCACTTGTAGGCCATGATGTGTGCAACAACCAGCATTTGTAGGCCATGATGTGTGCAGCACTTGTAGGCCATGATGTGTGCAGTACTTGTAGGCCATGATGTGTGCAGCACTTGTAGGCCATGATGTGTGCAGCACTTGTAGGCCATGATGTGTGCAGCACTTGTATGCCATGATGTGTGCAGCATTTGTAGGCCATGATGTGTGCAGCACTTTACATCACAACTAGGTCATGATGTGTGCAGCACTTGTAGGCCATGATGTGTGCAGCATTTGTAGGCCATGATGTGTGCAGCACTTGTAGGCCATGATGTGTGCAGCACTTGTAGGCCATGATGTGTGCAGCACTTGTAGGCCATGATGTGTGCAGCACTTGTAGGCCATGATGTGTGCAGCACTTGTAGGCCATGATGTGTGCAGCACTTGTAGGCCATGATGTGTGCAGCACCCAGCATTTATATGCCATGATGTGTGCAGCACTTGTAGGCCACGATTTGTGCAGCACCCAGCATTTATATGCCATGATGTGTGCAGCACTTGTAGGCCATGATGTGTGCAGCACCCAGCATTTATATGCCATGATGTGTGCAGCACTTGTAGGCCATGATGTGTGCAGCACTTGTAGGCCATGATGTGTGCAGCACTTGTAGGCCACGATTTGTGCAGCACCCAGCACTTTACATCACTATTAGGTCAAGATGTAAATACCATTTTTTAGGCAATGTGTGTAGCACTTTAATGATTTGATATTTGTAGGCTTCAATTTATATTTGCATGAACATTTGATTCCTGGCTACTGAGAAAAGGGATAAGACCAGAATAGTCCATGCTAAAATTCAGCTAGTGAAAATAAATAAAATGATCTTGTGAATGTGTGTATGTGTGTGTGTGTGGGGGGGGGGGGGGGGGGAGGCGGGAGCGGGATGTCCGTTTTAAGATTGTCATTAAAATGTAATTATACATAAATTATTCCAGTATTATTTTATTGGCTGAAATCGAATTACATATTTATTTTTGGCAGTATGAAATAAATATTTGGAGTATTTTGGAATATCGACACGAGTATTGTCCGTACACACCACAAACCGGGATTTGGTCGAGTGCCGGTATTTTGACGACTATTGTCAACAAAATGAGACCGCGATCTGTCAACACGACCCCCCCCCCCCCCACCATGTTTGGGGACACTTTCATTGTGTCGTCTGGTCAAACTCCAAACTCAACGGCCCAGGTTAAAAAAAAATGTAACGTCCATTTCTCCTGTTGGACTCATGTGCGGTGCTGGTGTGTGTTTTGTGAGACATGGAGAACGGACACAAAGAAATGTATTTGAGAAAAAAAATGGAACCCCCGAGGTGGGGTGGTGGCGGGGCGGAATGCAAAAAAAAATTGCAGCGGCTGATTATTGAAGAGCGGACGAGGTCTAAAACTCGTTGCCGCTCTACAAGTCTTTGTATTTTAACATGATGTGCGCCGGGAGGTGAAGGAAATATGGACGAGGTGATGCCGAGGGCGGAATTAAAGATGTGTGCAAACCGTATGAGTGAGAACAAAAAAAAAAGGATATAGTTGTCGATTTCGACGATGAACCGATTACAGAAATCTAGAGCATTGCTGGTCTGTCATCGCCCTGTTTGCAGAACCCAAGAGGGAATTCTCCAGCCGCCATTTCAACAAGAATATCCGGTGTTTTTGGCCATCTTATTTGATTAATCCACGTGTTTATAGGGCATGTTAATTTATATTAAAAAAAAGAATGATAATAATCATATTTCACATGTAACTGTGTTCTTATGCCTGTTGTCAAAACAGGAAATATTTTGGCGCGGCGGAACACGAGGGGATGTCGAGGGAGGCTAGAAGGAAATAACATTGTTTGACAGTGAGTGAAAGGGGAGAAAGAGGGAGTGGGTTAAAAAACAAGTTGAGTTATTCCTTTGTGCTTTCAGTTTTTTTTTTTGTTTTTTTTTGAGCGCAGACTCGGCTGTGGATTGTGCGGATATTTTATGTCCGTTTTAATTCGGTCTAATCTGTGGAAATATTAACCTGATGTGAACGTCTGCTGTAAAATAGGGGATCTGGTTATGTGCACTCACATGGGGGTTCAATATCTCACGGTTTACGATGTGTTAATAGTTTACCTTATGCAATACACACACACACACAAACACATACACATGACGTATAAGCATATATATATATATATATATATATATATATATATATATATATATATATATATATATATATATATATATATATATATATATATATATACATGGATATTCAATATTCTAAATGTATATAAGATATCTTTATAACACACACACAAATTTATATATATATATATATATATATATATATATATGCTGTATATACAGTGTAAAATCGAAAGCCCCAAGATCTACGTTTAGAGCACTGATCGTTTCAGAAACAACCTGACAATATTTACACTAAATTTGCCTTTCTAATTTTTTTTAGAACTCTCGATTGAAAGCCGTATCTCTGCTATAAATAATTTTAAGTTTTTGTTTTTTAAAAAAAATGGTGAAATCAAAGCCATTATTGATTAATTAATAAAGCACGCGATGAGAGCCGGGGAACTGGCTGGTGGTCAGGGGAACTAAATCATAAGGTGGGGGGGGGGGGGAGGCTGGGATAGGTAAGGGGCGTTAACTCTGTCTGATTGTTTCAAAAGTACGATTAGGATTTTTTCTAATGGGGTGTTTTAGTTTGTATTTTACTTCGCATACTTTTTTTTTTTTTTTTGTAATTTACAATTGTATCAAAAGTACGGTCGCGATTTTTTCTAATGGGGTATTGTAGTTTGTATTTTACTTTGCATACTTTATTTCTTTTGTGATTTACAAAGTTAAAAAAGTAAACTATAACTCTCTTCCCCCCCCCCCCCCCCCCATCCTACCCTGTAAAGCCCCATCAATCCGTCATTACCAGAAACCAGCAACACACGTTCTCTGCGGCAATGCCTAGGTCAGTTGTTTCCCTTTCATTCTCGTGCTGTCATTGATCTTTAATTTACAAAATTAGTGGCCCCAGACACGACTGCTAGGGTATCTTCTATTTCTAGTTCCTTTCGCTCTAGTGGATCTATCTGTTTATTCTTTTTAATTTTTTAAAATTTTCTGCTTTGTAAAAGATCAGCAACTCAGTATCTAAATAGCTTTAGTAGCTGTTGTTAATCAATTGTTATTTACTTATGTCAACGTTTTTTAAAATAATTAATTAATGTTCTAATTAGCAATGTAATACCATTCTCGGCGCTGCCGTCGTGTAAACATCGGCCTGGATTTAAAACTAAAAGATAAACAACAACACCGTTTACTCCAGTTCCCTCGACCGGTTGAGAGATCGACCATAATCTCGTCCTGTGTCCCCTCGATAAATGTCCATCATTAGACGAGAGAGGGAGACAGGAAAAAATAACTCTGCTTTCAATTGATTCTTTCAGTCTCAGCTCAACAGTTTGGAATCGATACTCGTAGATCCAGCTTACACGGCTTAAGTCCCATTTTTTTAAAAAAAATACATGACTTTAATTCTGTTTTTTTTAAAAAATGTAGACGACTAAGTCAGAATTGAAAGGGAGACGTCGATAATCAGTGGTTTTAGTTTGGGATGTAAAATAAAGAATTATTCACTACACTAGACCCTTTCTTATGTCTGACAGTGCAGTTTATTTTTACTATGGTTAAACATCTCACGTGCTAATGGCCACCCAGCTCCTGGATGCAATGGCCAAATAACTTATACCAAACTGCTTTGTACACACTGGCCTGCTGTTGTACATAGCTCCAAGCCTTTGCAAATTTTGGCCAAACATCAGCTGTACACAAACATCGTCTCTGTGGTAGCTTCTGTTACATCTCTGGAGAACTTTTAGAACACCTGTAGCCTTGGTCCACTGTAGCCCAGCATTGCTACACCACCAGCCCTTGTACACAGCTACTAAACAGCTCGTGTATACAACGACCAAACAGCCCTCAATATCACGACCAAACCAAGACCAAACAGTCTTCATACACAACGACCAAACAGCCCTGTACACAACGACCAAACAGGCCTGTACACAACGACCAAACAGCCCTGTACACAACGACCAAACAGCCCTGTACACAACGACCAAATAGGCCTGTACACAACGACCAAACAGCCCTGCACACAACGACCACCAGCCTTCTACACAATGTCCAAACCTCCCCTGTCAGCTACCCCCAAAGAACGGTCACGTGTCTCCCGTGTATCGACTGACCTGGACAGGGTGTAGATCTCCCGCATGACATTACGCCTGATTGATTATTGCCCTATCGATCTATTAAACAATACTTCCGCTGCCTCCCCCTTTCCCCCCTTTCTTCCATTACTTAGCTACGGTAAATATTCTCTTTATCTCCCTCGTTTATTTGCTTGGTTTATTTCGTAGCTTCGAGTAAAATCTTTCCATTTGACTGGTTGTTTTGTGAAAATAAAACGGCTACAAAAGACCGTTTTAATTAATTATTTACACTGTTCTGAAATTTTAATCGTACAGTCTGATTGTTAATTATTTTGATTATTTATTCCGTGTTGATTTTAAATAAATATTTACACCACTGGCGTGTTTACATCAGCAAAAAAAAAGTTTCTTTATTTATAAAAATGGTCAGCTCCGCCATTGTGTCATATTTTCTTCATCTTTTGTATCGTCCGGAGCTAATATTCTTTCAATACTCCCATCTAGCTATAGAAAACACCCGGATGTAAAAAAAAAATAAGCTCCCTTAGCTTTCACCTTTAATTCCATCTCCTCCCCCGCTCACCTCCCCCGTCTCAGCCTATAGCCATTCAAGCTGGCTTTTGTCCGCAGATTCGAGTTCTCGCGCCCCACAGGGCGGGTGGGGATCGGTGGTGAAATTGTCCCAATTTCCATTAACTTTTGTTAAACGTACACCGGGGCTACTATATAGCCGTTAACTGGGTATGATTCACCGCTTCTTTTGGCGAGAGGGGAGGGGGTCGGGGAGGCAGGGGACAGCCCTTCAATCCAAAGCTACTATTATACCAAATTATGTTTTTCCCTAACCTAGACAGTTTGGATCCTCTCCCCCCTCCCCACCTTCTATTCCTGCACAATTCAAACCTAGCATGCAGGTTATGTATGTTCTATTGTCGCCTCAACGGAAACTCGGGTTGGGATTCTCACCCTCTACCCGACACTCGGTTTAAAGCAATGCCGCGTCCTCTCGTGGTGTAATCTTACCCTGTCTCCCCCCTGCCCCAGCCTGTTCCCTGTTGAATGTTTGACAGCTCCATTCTGGCGACGCTTGTCGTTAAATAAATACTTACCTCTACTGTCACCGAGGCTATATCAGCTCGTGTGTCGTCTGGGTGAGACAGGAGAGTAAAAAATCTGGGCTGTTTATTTTTAAACACACGAACACGTCGCAGTGTTTTAAATACACGAACACATTGCAGTGTTTTAGTTTTAAACACACGAACACAGCTGTTATATTTTTAAACACACGAACACAATGCAGTGTTTTTTTATATTTAAACACACGAACACATCGCAGTGTGTTATTTTTAAACACACGAACACATTGCAGTGTTTTAAACACACGAACGCATTGCATTGTTTTATTTTTGAACACACGAACACATTGCAGTGTTTTATTTTTAAACACACGAACACATTGCAGTGTTTTATTTTTAAACACAAGAACCCAGCTCTGTTATATTTTTAAACATGGTAATTCCGTTTTTTTAAAATATTCAATACATTGAGTTAGTGAGGCGTTTAATTTTGACATGCTTCGACATTGGTGTTTTTTTTTTTTTTAAATTTAGGCCTAACACACTGACGCAGTTGTGTTATATTTAAACACACCAAGATATGTTGACAAGATAGGCCTATTGCTGTGTTTTTAAACACACCATTATAGGATAGTGTTTTATATCTAACATGCTGACAGTGTTGTGTAGACGTGGGGTGTAAGGGGGGGGGGGGGGATTTGGTTAAAAATAACTTATCTTACGCGATAACTAAGTTATCCTCTGCTTGTTTACTGTTGATGGGTGGGTAGCAAGGGCCAGATTTGACGCCACTGTTGGGATAGACGTACCCAGGCTTATAAAATTACCGGGGTATCTCGTTCCCATGGACGGCTGTCTTTTTTTGTTTTGGTGAACCGACATTTTATTAATTACTTTTTATAATGATTACTTTTTTTTCTCTCAAGTAACTAGACACTTTAGATTAGATGTTATTTTATGGTTGTAATTAAGAGGAATGTTAGAGATATTTTTTTTTCGTTTTAATGAAAATAAAAAATTAGAAATTATTCTTTCGTTTTAATAAAGAGGTATTTTTGAACTTATTTTATCGTTTTAATAAGTAGACATTGTATACATTATTTCATTGTCTTGATAAAGAAATATTAAGCTAAAATATCGAGAGGCCCACACTGTTTGAGCTTTAAGTTTTTATGCGATACATACTAAACACTCCCGGGGAAGGGAGCTGAAACATATGAGGGGGGGGGGGGTAGGCAGGGTTGGTGTAGCATTTCTTTGTATTTTGTAAAATAAATATAAATAAATGAGAATTTTCGTTCGAATTGGGGTCAGAATTATGGTAACTGGGGGTATACTTTGTGATGTCGTTTACAGAGGGGGGGGGGGTCTTCATTTTTTTATAAAGAAAGGGGAATACAAAGAAGGGGGAGGCAATAAGCCTGACGTCATTTTGAGCGGCTTCAGCACTTGCCGCCTGCAGGTTCTCACACCAAATCCAAGAGCCACTTCCACCCAACGATACCATGCCTTCTCTTGGACCACTGGCTCCTGACCGCCGGCCCCACTACTGGCCCCTGACCACCGACCCCTGACCCCCGGCCCCTGACCACTGGCCCCTGACCCCCGGCCCCTGACCACTGGCCCCTGACCTCCGGCTCCTGACCCCCGGCCCTGACCACTGGCCCCTGACCACCAGCTCCTGACCCCCGGCTCCTGACCCCCGGCCCCTGACCCCCGGCCCTGACCACTGGCCCCTGACCCCCGGCCCTGACCACTGGCCCCTGACCCCCGGCCCCTGACCACCGGCTCCTGACCCCCGGCCCCTGACCACTGGCCCCTGACCCCCGGCCCCTGACCACTGGCCCCTGACCCCCGGCCCTGACCACTGGCCCCTGACCTCCGGCTCCTGACCCCCGGCCCTGACCACTGGCCCCTGACCACCAGCTCCTGACCCCCGTCTCCTGACCCCCGGCCCCTGACCCCCGGCCCTGACCACTGGCCCCTGACCCCCGGCCCTGACCACTGGCCCCTGACCCCCGGCCCCTGACCACCGGCTCCTGACCACCGGCCCCTGACCACCAGCCCCTGACTACAGGCCCCTGACCACCGGCCCCTGACCACCGGCCCCTGACCACCGGCTCCTGACCACCAGCCCCTGACCACCAGCCCCTGACCACTGGCCCCTGACCCCCGGCCCCTGACCCCCGGCCCTGACCACTGGCCCCTGACCCCCGGCCCTGACCACTGGCCCCTGACCCCCGGCCCCTGACCACTGGCCCCACTACTGGCCCCTGACCCCCGGCCCCTGACCCCCGGCTCCTGACCACCGGCCCCTGACCACCGGCTCCTGACTACCAGCCCCTGACCACCAGCCCCTGACCACCAGCCCCTGACCACCGGCCCCTGACCACCGGCTCCTGACCACTGACCACCGGCTCCTGACCACTAGCCCCTGACCACCAGCCCCTGACCACCAGCCCCTGACCACCGGCCCTGACCACTGGCCCCTGACCCCCGGCTCCTGACCACTGGCTCCTGACCACCGGCCCCTGACCACCGGCCCCTGACCACCGGCCCTGACCACCAGCCCCTGACCACCGGCCCCTGACCACCGGCTCCTGACCACTGACCACCGGCTCCTGACCACCAGCCCCTGACCACCAGCCCCTGACCACCAGCCCCTGACCACCAGCCCCTGACCACCAGCCCCTGACCACCGGCCCCTGACCACCGGCTCCTGACCACTGACCACCGGCTCCTGACCACCAGCCCCTGACCACCAGCCCCTGACCACCAGCCCCTGACCACCGGCCCCTGACCACCGGCTCCTGACCACCGTCTAAAGCCAAACTGTCCCTGACGATAAACACAAGCCCCTGATACGACGTGGCGATGAGGGCCAAGCCAGCAGCACCCGTTTGACCCTTGTCCGGCTCTGACTAGAGATATAAATTGTCCCTGTCTTATTTCTGCCCGGTCTCAGATCATTTATCACGCGGGGTTTTGACAACATGTCAGCATGGACGTGTGTCTGTGTGTGCGTCTGTCTGTGTCGGAGTGTGTACGTCAGTATATGTGTGTGTTTTAATGTGGTTTTTGCGATGTGTTTGCGGCGGTGTGTGCCTGTCTGTGTTTCTGTGTGTGTAGCTGAACAGGTCTTTGATTGATCCTCTGAAGTGTCTAAAGTGTGTCGCTTAGTGTGTCTCTATGTATGCCCCTTGTTTTAGTTGCTTTGTATTTGTTGGTGCGTATGTGTTGGTGTATATTTATGTGTCTCTATGTGTTCCTCTTTTTGAGTTGGTTTGTATTTGTCGGTGTGTGATTGCGGGGTGTATACGCCGGCGTGTCTGTGTGCGTGTATGCGTCTGTGTTTATGTCTCTGTGTGTATGTGTCTATGTGTTATTGAATATGCCCCTGAAGTATATCCTTTTTTTTTGCGACAATACGTGTGGCTCTATGACTGTGTCTCTCTGTGTCCCTCCCTGTCCCTCCCTGTCCCTCCCTGCCTCTGTCTTTGTGTGTCGTCAGACGCGGTCCTGTCCACAAAAAGCATGTCTGCCCGACCACGACCTATTCACGTCAGCACATGTTCCACACACTGAACTTTATACCCCGAGCTTTACTCGCGCCGAGATCCCATCAGCAGCTCGAGACTTCTCGAGTGGTACGCGCGTGAGTCATTTCATCGACGCATGAAATTTAAAAGAAAATTATTATTCAATCAATGATCGATCAGGTGGTAATCTTTGTCTTAATAACACGCATTTCTTAACCTGGATCTCGCTGAGTCACGTGGTCCCGCGAGATGTCTCCCCCCCCCCACACACACACACGAGAATCGTTAATAGAACAGTTTGTTGTATGAATATTAAACAATGTCTTTATTGGAACAAATGTTGCAAACGACGGCCACTATTTGAGCTGGGGGCTGTAATTTTTTTTTACAGAATTAGGTCAAACCGCTACATTTGAACTTCTGTAATTTTAGAACCAGGCCATAGAATGCCAGTAAACGTTTTTGTAGTCCCATGCATGCAACTACTTTGTTTTGGAAATAAAGAAATTGTATAACGATATTATGTAATGCTGCATATTAAAATTGTATCGTGTGTTTTTGGTACTAAATGCATTAGCTGTTCTTAGTTGTTTTTTTTTTGTGTTTTGATGTATTCACTGCTCTTTGTGTTGTACTTTTGGTACTCGATGCGTCCTCGGCTAATGCACTTGGAAGGAGGGAAAAATCTGCCTACAAGATTTGACACTCAAGTGATCTTGTGAAATCTTGGCCTGTCAGCACTAATTATTCATTGCTTTTCCCTCATGGCTTTCCTCCCCTCACCATGGTATTCGTTTTTTCTGTTCAAGTGTGAAACATCTCGAGTAAGATATTACGTACAGATTTCTTGGGTGTCCGAGTGTGTATGTAGGTTTTTATGTTATCTGTGGGGTGTAAGAACAACGTCAGGATGGGTCCAGGGGTTAAATACGACCCGCCAGTCTTGTGAAGAACCGTTGCTTACTACATATGTGAGCTGTTTGTTTGGACTTATCAACGCCCTAGTTGTGTGGTCTTCAGCGCCTTATGGGTTGGACTTAAAGATGTCTTAGATTTGATGCAAATAAGCACCTCATTTTCCTGGTCCTTTTCTATCCTAGTCTAAAAAAAACCTCACTTACTGGACCCACCTAACCATCCCAGTCTAAAAATACTTCACTTACTGAACCCACCTAACCATCCCAGTATAAAAACACCTCACTTACTGGACCCACCTAACCATCATAGTCTAAAAATACATTACTTTCTTGACCCACCTAATCATCTCAGGCTTATAACATCTCACTTTCTGAGCCCACCAAGACTACCTCTAAAAACCCTTTTTACACTAACATCCATTTTTGATAGTTCATGCAGAAGGAAAAGGTGAACAGATGTCCCATTAGTCACGTGACGTTACCGAAGTGTTACATAACAAAGCCCCTGATTGCACGCGAGCCCTGCTGTAAAAGACCACCATAAACAACTGTTGTAAAACTGGAGACTATGGACGTCCGACATGGCACCAATCAGGCAGCTTATTCAAATAGAACAGACCACAGGCCATTTGAGGATTTCTTTACAGGAAACTTGCGTTGATCATTTAACGAGCTGTTGTTCGAGTAATAACTTTTTACTAAAGGGATGGTTTTATTTATGGCATCAGAATATTGAGATCATAATAAGAAAAAAATGAAAGAATTTTTTAAAGACATGGTTGGTATAGACTAGAGCAGATAAAGTAGTGGCTACAGAAACAAATAGTCTGTATTAACGTATGTATTATTTTTATTTTAAAGATACTTCTAAAAAAATGATCACACACAACAGTAAACGTCGACGGATCTTTTGACATTTGACCTTTGGCTTCTGAACGAACACTAATGTTTCTTCCTGTCCTTCACCTTTTGAGTCAGCAGCAAACACAAGAAGGATCTCTTCTCAAGGACACTAGTCAAGGTCAGACCACCGACCCAAAGGTCGCGCAATGCAATTAATGTGAGCCATGATTGGCTCAAGTGTCACCGTTACATAAGGGATCACTCTGGGTGTTTTTTTTTCTCCTGGTACTTCCAGAGTTCTCGTCCCTTCTACTGCATAATCTGAGCCTACGCACTGTATAACTCCCAGCGTTCGTACGCAGTCTGGAAAAAGTCTGGAATTTCATATACAAAAAGTAGTACGAACCCTGAACTCCTTACTCTATCCGGACTACGTGTTGCCTATTTTTAACGATTCTTTTAACCGTCATCTAAAATATATATTTCATTTTTATTTAGGTTATCGAATACTATCGAACCGAACCAGGCGGTAGGATAATAATGGGAGAGAAAAAAATATTAATTAGCCATCACATTTTTTTATTAGCTGGCCCAGCGCGACCATGTTGTGACGTCATTGGCGGGAAATGATTGTATGATTGTTCCCGCCATAAAGAAACGTCGATGTTGTGTGTCAGTTCAACTTTATTGACCACGTTTTTCCCCCAGACAAGTGAATTCGCAAAAACTGAACAATATACCGTGGGTATACCGCGTGTTTCGGTGGTGATTAATTATCGTGGTAATTAACTGTAGTTGACTGCGTTCGGAAGTTAATTGACGTCATGGCTTGAACCAGGTGTCTAACGTCATGTATGACGGGTTAGGTTTAGGGTTATATAGGTGTGGTATCGGATGGGTTAGGTGTAGGTTTAGGATTGGGTGGGGTGTTGGGCGGATTAGGTTTAGGGTTGGACGGATTAGGGTTAGTTAGCTGTGGAGTTAGGTTAGGTGTAGGGTTGATCAGGTTAGATGTTGGACGGGTTTGTTGTAGGGTTGGTTGTAGGGTTGATTGCGCTACGGCAAGGACAGACAGAATGTTCTATGTTGTCAGGGTTGACCTGACGGGTTGGTCTAACATGTTGGTGGTGCATGTCGGATGACTCAGCATATAACCAACAAACGCGATGGATCGTATATGAGCCATGGCTACGTTAATCCTCAATTTAACAACGAAGACGACAGATAAAAGGTGACGGCGTGTTCTGGTAGGAGTGAGCACAATTGCTAACCCGAAAGTTCCGAGTTTGGGCCCCGGTGGACGCGACCCGTTAGTTATGGACAACCACACACCTAAAAAAAGGAAAATCTGAAATTTAAAAAAAAAAATTATGAACTAAAGCTATGGAAGCACCTCCAGAAATAAAATCAGCCTGAAGTCGGAGTCACTTGACTCAATGTTGACACATAATCATGTTGGAGGAAATTCCCTCCGATATAAAAAATTAAGAAGACATAAAGAATAAACACTACAGGAGCTTGTAGGGCCTATACTCGTCTTAAAAAAAACCCAGATTATTTATAGTTTTGGGTTTACCCGTATCAAGCATAACACATCACTTAGTTATCTCTCTAAAAAAAACTGTATTACTCAAAAGCTAGTTGTTTACAATTATTTAGTAGAATTATCCTAATCCCAACCCTAACCTTAATTTATAAGTATCTCGGTTCTGCTATCCTGGTTAGGAAAAAAAATCTTATAAAACTTAACCGTAAAGTCTTGTCTCTGGCTTAAGGCTGACCAATCAGCCTGATGTCCCACAGATTCTACTTCCACCCCACCCCTCTCCCGCCCTCGTCGTTTAAACGAGATTAAGCAACTGTTGAGTCTCCCGTACAGACCACGAGTTGGTCCGGGCCGTGTGGTCCCCTGCCCCACGGCAGGCTGGGATTGAATGGGTTCTCCTAACGTAATCCGCGGTCACAACCCACCGAGGCCGAGCGAGATGGAAGAAAAACACGAGGGCGAAATAGTCCAGCGTTAAACGGGTTGGGCGGGTAATAGGACGTTTTGGCCTGAAAATAACATTTCTTTTCAGGCACATTACCCAAGCCTTGCCCCTCATTGAGTCAAGTAATTGCTCGGGGGTGGGGGTTAGCCGTGGGGTGGGAAGAAGAGACCAACAAGTCAAAGTCCGGCAAGGCCGATAATCCCCAAATAGAGTCTAACTGCGGCGGGAATGAAACAATGATTGTCCAGATTTACAATGACCTTGCAGTGACCCTTGTAGTGACCCTTGCATGTGTCATGTGCAGGACATTAGCGAGCAATTTTTTTTGTCCGCTTGACGAGCCCCCTGTCGAGGGCCGTCTGGAGGGGGACTTAATTGAGTCTAAATGACATCCACATGACCGGTTTCCAATCACCGTCGGTGCTAGTCGCTCGTCGGATTGAGTTAGTTGGCTCGTGGAGAGAGCCCGTCGTGTCGGACTGAGGAAGTAGTACAGGGGTCATCGTGTCGGTGAGTGCACTTAAGCTCGTGCACTGAAACTGTGTACATTTAAATAATCTATAGGCCTATATATATATATATATATATATATATATATATATATATATATATATATATATATATATATATA